AACGCAGGGCCAAAGCACAACTCCCATTGCCCATCCAGAGGAGGGCGAACGGCAGTGGGGCGAGACAACACGTGAGACCCACACGGATGTGCTGGATTTTTGGCGTTTTTTTGTTGGAATCATGGACCATGGCGGGCAGGTACATCAGTGACACATTGGAATTGCGCTATGAGTTCCAGTTGCCACGTGCAGGAGCGAGCAGATCACGGTGGAGGATCCCTTGGAGGTCCCCCTCGTGGTGGCTTTTACTGATGGCACTGCCGTGGGAGAGGTTTTGGTGCGGATGACTTGGGTACCAGGCGGGGAAGTCGAAGCAGGTTTCGGCCAGTGCGATTTCAGATGGTGAGTGCTGGGGAGTCCCAGCATCGATTAACATCAGATGCAGAGTGGTCTAAAGGTGGACCATTCATAAGAATTCTTGGTTTCAGGGTTTGGTCTTCAATGAAATCTGATAGTTTCACCACTTTGTGGCAGCCATAAACCAACAACATGGGCGCCCAGAGACCCTTTGAGATGGCAAACTCGGCCTCAGGATGATCACTGGGCCAAACCCACTCACCCTTGGCATGCCGGTTCCCATCCTTTTGGGGGGCCGTATACCTTAGGAGTCCAAAGTTCTTTCCGCAGGCCCAGAGATGAAAGAGAAGGAGGCCTTACCTTCTGGAGCTTTGACGGTGTCCATCCTCAAGCTCTCGCTGGACAAAGGCGCGAAACCGGTGGGCGCGGTGGCGCCACGGATGGATTCCTTCGGACGGGCACCGTGCCAGATGCTGACGCTGGGTTGACTTCGGGTACCTTGGGGTATCCGAATCAGTGGACTAGTCAAGAAGAACCGGATCCGCTGGAGTTCCTTTCATTTTCAGGGTCACACCGGTCACACCCATCAGTCGCGGCCTTTCAGTAGCAGCATGTCGCGGCCGTCATGGTCCGTTCATGTCCCGTGGGACTGGAAGAGTTGCTTACATTGGAGGCCCATGTCCTATGGGATGAAGAGATGTAGCTTGTGTAGCTGTTCCACAACATGGGGTATATAAATGTGTTGGGTGTGTAATAGAATAGGGAGACCAAACGAGTTCGACCCCTGAAAGAAGGAACCCATCGATGAACATAGACCACACCCCCTGAAAAATTGGGGGTCTCCCCATACACACCCATGTACAGTGGTTTCAGAGTAGATGGCACAATCCCAAAAGGTGCTTTGTATGGACCCTCATTTGAAAGACATCTTCAGGTTTGTGCCATCTACTCTAAAACCACTGTAACTCCGGAACGGGATGGCCATGGTGGAACGGGCATCGCGGGCATCGCCCGCCGGGCCCGCCATCTCACAACCGGCCAGGCGCTTCACCGGAGAGCATCACCTGGGAGATTCCGATCCAAGCCTTTGGACGCTTGGCCGTGGGGGGGCGCTTCTGCCGTGTGGCAGAAGGTCCGTGTTGCCCCCCACCCGCGGCGTACGGCAGAAGGTCCGTGTGGCGCTTCTGCCGGCAGACCAATAGGATTGAAAGAACTGCCGAGTTTTTGAATGGGAACTTGCATCCACTTCCAGGGCGGGTGGATTTTTTTCTGACAGCTTGTGTGATGCCGTTTTCGACCACTAAGGATGCGTCAGCCGAGTGGTGAATCTGCGCGAGGTCTCCAATCAGCGCACCTTCCAAATCAGTGTCCCGGCACGGAATGACACAGAGGCCTCACTGTGGAGAGATGCCGCGTGTCGGTGAAGAAAAGCAGCCAAATCGGTCCGAGTCCTCATTGCATTTTGATATGAGTCACCACGGCAAATTGGTGATCGACCCACCAGAGAATTTGATCAAAGCCTCATTGCCTTGATGACCCCTCATGCTGGACAATGTGGTAGTATAGAGGCCTTGGTGCCCGAATTGGTGTCCTCTGACGTTGCTCGCTGACCACGGCAATGGCTCAGAAGGGGGGAATGACGGCACCGTGCGACTGGGGATCGATGAGACCTGAGCCGAGTGGCGGCAGTGACTCGGACCGGGTCACAACCCGGACAGGAGAATTCAGAAGACACATGGAAGGAAACAGACACCCCTGACATCCCCTGACCATGTGTGTACCATCCAATCAATTCGCCAATAGTTGACAATCCTTTGACAACCCTTTAGGGTGCTGGACTGCCCTCCCTCGCCCAAACCTCACGACACCGCGGCTCGGACGGACGCGAGTCGTTCCGAGATTGGAACGGAGCGGCTGGCACCGCGGACGCGCAGCGTGCCGCGGGGGAGCAGAAGGGGTCGCGAGAGCAGGTGCAGCCGCATCTTGGAGAGGGACGTTGAACGTTGAAACGTCGAACATGGAGAAACTGTTGATGAATCATGGTGAATCCAAACCGTGTACAACCAAACATCCGCCTGGTGCCTGGAGACGTAACACCATTCTGGTTCGGGGGGTTGTTCTGGGACCCACCGACGTGCGGCGTTTGGTGGCCGTCTTTTTGATGACATGCATCAACATGCAATTTCTTAGAAGAGAGGTTTCAAAGGGTTAAAGCGTTTTTTTTGTTTTTCGGATGCAGCATGCACGCAAATTGCCGAAACATGCGCACAATTTGAAAAAGCGGCGAACTGCCCCACCCAAGTGATCTTGGTTTTGAACAACCATTGTTAGATATGTTTAGCACATTTGTGGTTTCCTGCAGAAAGCCCTTCCGCTGTGCGGGTTGTGTGGGTGTGTTGTGTGCAGCGTGGAGGCACGGCCCAAAATGGGTTGGGAATGAGGGGGTTCCATGACTTTTGAGTGATTGTATATTCTTGTTTCTTCATGAATGCACTTTTTGACATGGCAGCGTTTCTTCTTGGTAGCGAAGGAAGAGAAGGAAGCGTTACTTTTGGAGCTGAAGAAAGCGGGATGGGCTTGATTGGGCGATACTCAGGTATGCCTTGGTGAAAGACTTTCAGGCTGGGACCAAAGTCTGTCCGAAGCTCTGTCAGTTCCGGCGGCGGCACTGGCTCAGGCTCACCGTGACCACTGCTGTAGAAGAAATGAGGCTTAAACCCTCGGTCTACCGGTTTGGTCGTCGGTCGACCGGTTGGGATTCCAGTGTGTGTCGTCGGTCGTCCACAACAAATGACAGAATCACTGATGGAACAACACATGTTTTGTTGAAGGCTATGCCATCCGGAGTGGCAGAGTGGTGAATTGGAAACATCATATATCATAGAAAGGAGCGCTCTCAGCGCGGCGCGGCACATTTTTGAAGATATTTCATCATCATAAGCTGTAGAACGTACATCAATGTATGTCCAAACACATGCAAGAGCTAGTTTTTATAGGCGAGATGGTCTGGTGTAGGGTTTTCTGCCAGGGAAAAATGGTGATGGATGCCAGCCCAGGGTCATGAAAAGGGAAGGCTTCTAAGTCCTTGACCCTTCGCTGACAGCAACCACATGGGGGTGCATCCATGCAACAGGCGCCCCGCCCCAAAGCGTCGACATCCAATCGGTGACAACGCTGGTGCCAAAAGGACAACGCTTTTTCATGCGATTTGTCCGTTTGCCAGTGGTCAGCTGCCTGCCTCTTTTTCGACACGTCGCAAGACACTGTGAGCAGCTGAAGCATTGACATCCTATCCTTGCTGACACCGGTATAACTTCACAAGCGTCAAGTATCATTCTCGGATCATCTCGAAAATGCACCTTGAAGATTCACCCTCATCCTATCTCTTGGTGTCAACGACCTCAACGACCTGATGTCAAATGTCCATGTCTCGGTCTCATTTTTTCTCCGCCGGCCGAATTCCACCTGGATCTTCAAAGAGGCTTTAATATACTCTTCTTTTTCTGCATCGTTGTTCAGAAAAGTGCTCGTTTTGGGTTCCTGCAAGAATGGTGTTAGGCCTCGCTGAACATGCAACCTCCTGCAGGCTCAGGTCTTGCACCTTTTGCACGAACAAGGCAAACAGTTGCGTTCGCAGGAGGACCGGAGCGGCGGGTTCGAGAGAGAGAGAGAGAGGAGGACCGGACTCGAGTAGCGGATCGCGGATCGGGAACCAATGGATGGTGAGACGCACGCGGTTTGGAGATGCCGAACGAACAAAGCCCCCAGGGGTGGGATATTTCAGCTATAATTCGAAGAAATCCAAGTGAAAGCCAGGCTACTGTATCAGCTTACCAGAAGTGAAAACGAGAGTCCATCCAAATGGATATTTTTGGATGTCCTTCCCTGAATGCCCTCTCCGGTGGCGGCCAGCATGAGGAGCTTCTGACCCAACAGGAAGACCGCATAAAGCTCTTGAGCAAGTGAGAGGGGGACCTCCATAGGAGGACACCTTTGTGAAAAGGTCTCCTGGCACGGGGGGGCCATGATATCATTGTATATAGATGGTGAACATCTCACCGAGCGCTAGGATTCTCCGATTTCTGTCTAGCCATTCGACCTTATCGAAACATGGTTCGAAACGGTTCAAGGAAAACACAAGATCAACCAGCTTCTACCCACTGCGTGGAGCTTTCAACCAGCTTCTTTCTTCACCTTTTTTTGGAGGTTCTCCGTCCCCAAAAGTCACTGGGCGGAACGGAGGGGTCTCACCCCGCCCCAAGGGCCGGTTCAGGATGGATCCCGAGACCCCGGCGGTCGCACGAAAAAGGGGGGCGCGCTACGGTGGGCCAAGGGCCGCTCGCACGGAATGAAGAACTCACTTCCATCGTAAGAGATTGTCAATCATGTCATCATTCATTTATGCTAATCATCCATCTTTGTCGGTTGTCAATAGTTTTTTTTTTCTTAAATCATCCATATTATGGTTGTCAATGTTGTGCAAATGATGTTTTTCACTCATGATCATGTCACACATTGCTGTATTTGTTTTGATGGAATGTGTGAATTCTTAGTGTAGCCACTATAGCGCCACCCGCTCCCTACCCGCGTAGCGGTTCCGGTTGGGAGCCGCTTCTCTTCGGTCTCCACACCGGTTCGGTCTCCCCGAAGCTTTGCCGCCGTTCGGCCGGAGGGCGGACCGCCGGAGCGAGCGCGCCGAAAAGGTGCCGCTTTACCAACTTAGACTGGAAGGTGAACGGCTACGAGTTGGAGGCGGGGGTCTTTATGGTGGTACTACCATGGTACATGGTACGTACGATGTCCGCGGCATGTGCAATGGGTTTGGCCCCATGTTTTTTTTTTTCCGGTTTTTGTGGGGGGGGGAATTGGATTTGATCCACGGCTGATAGAATGGGTGGAAAAAGGTTGACCTGTGTTTTCCACGAAACATGGGAGGGTCAGCTGTCGGTGATGGGTCATGGGTTTACCCTGGAAACCCTGGAAACTCCAGCGATGCAAAGACTGCAGGTGTCCTGGACCGTTCGAGGTGTATCAAGTGGACCGTGTCGTTGCGAGGCAACAATATGATTCGATTCTCAGGTTTGAATGCAGCATTCAAGCGAACTGGTTCAATCGAATGGAGATGAACACTATGTCAGGCGTTGTTGTCTCCATGTCCTATATAGTGGTTCGCAGTAGCCGCCCAACAGCCGTGCTGTTGGCTACAGTATCAACAAGTTGTCCCACCGCCTCTCAACTCCGCACAGTCCGAGCTGAAGATCGGCAAGGCAGATCGGGGCGTCACCACGCGTATCTGTCCAGGACAGTGCGGATCCGATGGTATGGGCCATGGGTGTGTAATGAAAGTAGGTAGACCTCTCAGAGAATCCCTGGAAGCAGGAAGACGCTGACGCACCCACTGGTTAGGTGCCACGACTTGCGGTTACGTTGGGCGCAGACTTAGCGCCTCCCTCGAGGGAGGGCCCCGTAGACCGTGTATTACGATGGGTACTCCCGCTACTACCCACTGGTTGGGTCTCTCCCTATTAACACACACACCCACGGGAATCGAACCTTGCTTGCTCAAACGATGAGTTGGAGTTGGATGACCAGTTCCTCCGGAGGGTTGCAAGAGTTGTGATAGGATGGGACAGGTAGGCATTTGCAACATTGGATCAAACATGACCAAAATTGTACAGAGATCAATTTTAGTGTTTTGTGGTTTCGTCCTACTCAAAGGCCGTGTTTCGGAGCAGATGCTTGTTTGAACAGATGTTTTGAATCGGAGCAATTGACGGGGTTTATATACTGTAAGGGGTGTTGCTCTGAGGCCCACCAGGTCTGATGTGCTGACTTCTTGAAATGTGGGCAGTCGGACTTGGTTGGAATAGGACCCCCCAAGCTGCGAAGACCAGTCCGACTTGGAACCTGATTTGGAAGCTGATGTTCCTCTACAACCTCCTGAGGTAGTTCCTGAGGTTCCATCTGGGGTTTCTTCGCAAGAAAGAGGCCCTTCCAGAGGCCTCTGGAAAGGCCTGGAAGCACGAAACATGGACACCTTCGAGTGCCAAGCACTGTCAACCGCGCAGCGACCTGCCAAGTCATGTTCTAGTCGTATGAGTCTTATGTATAGAGTGGTCATCCTTTTGGTCCAATTGGTGCCATTGTCATCCACATCACCAGGATTATCCACATAGACACATAGACATGTTCAACCCCCCCACCGGTGTCGTTCGTTCCGCTCCGCTGGCGGTGGTGACAACGGACGGGCCGGCGATGAGGTGGAACTCATTAACGACTTCGTGGCGCAGGGCTATGGCATGCTCACCTTGGCCGATGATGAGGCGACCCGCCGTGGTATGCGGAGCTGAGAACGCTCGAAGGGACGGTGCCATGGATGAGAGCCAAGGAACAAGAGTGGAGGCCACAAGGATTCTTTGCAAGTGGTCGAGAAGAAATCGTTCTATACTCCTGGAGTTGCGAACGAGTTCTAAAGGATTCCAAAAGGGTGGCTTTTAGATGCCTTTATATAGTATCCTTTATATAGTCCCATCCAGTGAGTGGATGTTCTCGGCACCCCGACATGGAACTGCTAGCCTCCATGTTGTGTTTATCCTCCAGCCTGTGAATATGCATCTTCAGGCCTCTTCAGCCATGTTCTCTCCAAGTCGTCCGAAGCCGATCCTCGGCCTCGACCTCTCCGACGATTCGCGCGGCGCGGTGTGTGGTGTGGCCCACTCCACGAGGTGACGCGCTTGAACGACGTGGAGCCTGAAGAGCATGGCACCATTGCGTGTGTGGGCGCCGGTACGGGCGAGGAGCCTTAGGTTGAGAGAGGCACGGTGGTGGTGCATGGGCTGAGTTTGGGAACCGGACCACTTGAATTGGTGGTGCGCTGCTGCGATTTCTAACTTGAACTGAAAAGCAGTCTTCCAGGCATGTGCTTGTTTTAACAGATTTAAACAAAGAGGGTTTGAGGCTTGAGACATTTTGAGCTCAGAAAGCAGGATTTGAAGTATCAACAATAAACGACTGAACTCTGTCGCTCGCTGTGTGAGTTCAAGACCATCCGGACTGGCTCTCGGAGGGGTGCAATGGCTCTTGCTCTGTCGAGTAGCAGCTTCGTTGGTTCCCCAGAGACCGCGACCATGAATCATGTCTTGGCAGAGCACATGCAGGGGAAGTGCAATCCGTGTGTCTTCTTCTTCTCCAGCTATGGATGCGCAAGAGGAAACGCCTGCCGCTATTGTCATTGGGCACACGAGGAGGAAGATTGCGGCAGCCGTCCTAGGAAGACAAGGCGCTACAGGACCAGGGTTTGGGTAGAGGACGATAGGGGTAAATTCTTTGAATGCTACTGCTACTGGTACGGCATGGTACGGCTAAATGGACGGTGGCTGGTGATGAAGTATCAGCCTGATTCCGCCTTGCCATGTTTGCTGTTGCCTTCTTGTGCCACCATTGTCATGGAACCCATAGATCATGTTTGGATTTCATCACCATCTTAGGGACTACTCTGCATACATCATCGGCAACATCCCAAAACCGATCGCTGGCAGTGCCCTCTGACTTTTTTCGATCTCGATGCTAAAAAGACGGCTGCCTTTGCATGATCTTTCCCTGGGGAGTGGACGCAGAAATTTGAGGACGCCGCGTTTTCCACGATGGACCTGGCTGGAGGGTCTCCTTATATAGTCCTTATAGTCGCATACACACACCCAGCTGACTGTATATTACATGTATTATATCATACATAATATATATATATATAGGTTGGACATACTTGTAATGCAGTTGATCCTTCAATACCCTTCGTCAGTGTGAGGATGAAGCAGCGGGTGGCGGAGCTCGTTCACAAAACTTGCCCGAATGACTTGCAGGAGAGGCTTCAGCAGGGCCATCGCTATTCGGTTGGAGGCCATCTCTCGTAGGTTGGAGGCCATCGCTAGTAGGTTGGAGGCCATTGTTAGGTTGGAGGCCATCGCTAGTAGGTTGGAGGCCATCGCTCTTATATTGGAGGCCATTGCTATTGGGAGCCAAGATTTTAGGATTCCTTTTTCCTGCAGGAGAGGCTTCAGCAAGAGGCACAGCGCCATTCCTACTTGCGTCGAGTGATCCTCTCCTACTTGGATCGCTTGGCGCGGAGCACTGGCCCTGCCAGTATTGCAGGGGTGGTCTTTTCGTTGTAGAGGATGTCCAGGTGCTGTCTTGGAACCATGAGTTGCCGCAATGTCAAGAATGTTGCTTGTTCCGACCGGTTCCTCGTGAGAGGGTATTTAGGTGTTGCTATCTTTTCCCAATTCAAGGATAACGAGCTTCTCGATTTCGCAAACAGTCAAAGCGAAGTTGATTCGGGTGGCTTGATCCTACCACTGATGGTAGGACGCTCCCAAAGTTGTGCTCAAGATTTTACCCTTTACCCCGAGAGTCTTTCACAACTAAGTGAGCTTGACAAGAAGGAATGCAATTGGTCTATATTATGTGTATATATATATATATCCATACATACAGACCTTGGGGTTTAGCCACAGTTTGAAGATCTAGACTTTAAAGATGATCCTGAGAGGTACAGTAGCAATGCCCAGAATGCCTGTGCTTTCCTTTCACCAAACAGGATTGCAGCAGGAGTTTTGGGCCAGCTGATTGCTGAATTGCAACACAGTTAATTACCTGGATCACTTGCACGTAGTTGCACTGTGGCAGGGGTAGAATCCATAGTCGATTTGGACAGTTCACATCAGTTGCCGTGTTTCTCGATTTTGCAAACTGGCAAAATTCTTCGGCAACATGTTTCTATCTGGTTGTGAAGCGGCGTTCGCAGCTGGCAGCAGAGTGCGTAGCAGGTTTCCGACGCCGCCATCTTGTGCTGGAACCCCCCATCGTTGCAAGGTTAGCAGCTGATGTGTTTCTTACCTGTTCTTACAACTTGTCCGAGAAGGGAACGAAGAGCAATACCAGCCCTTATGTTGTTTGCTAACCTTGGTGGGTTTCCTGAACCTGAGTCGACACCTTTGAGAAAAGACCGTGAAGCTTCGCCGCTCCGCTGAGCCATGTTACGCTTGGCTGAGCCATGTTCGCGTTTGGTGCGCCACCACGCGGGTGCCCGGTCGATTCCTTCGTTTTTCCCGGGCGCCAGCATCGGACCGTCAGCTGTCAACAGCTGAAGCAAATCATGTGCATGTGACTGTGCATGTGACTTTTAAGCATTTGGTTGACAAGTCAGGCAAAGATCGCTGACTTTAGGCCAAGCAAACATGAGCAAGCATGAAATGTACTGAAACGAACCAGCACCACGGAAAGGGTGGTTTATAAACGACACCCCTGACTCTGTTTAATCCTTATGCGAGTCATGAGTGGGATAGGTACCTGTGGTGGTACTGTCAATACCACCAGTCTGTACCGCTTTTTTTGCCGGATCATCTTGACCAACACGCATGTGCGCGAGTCCTGCGGTTCCCGCGAGTGAGACGAAGCATCGCACGGGCTGAGGTCTGGGGCAATGCTTCTTGGTGGCGGACCAGAAGACGGGCGAGTATCGCTGCTATCCTAGTGAAGGCGAGGACAATGGGCAATCTGAAACATCTGAAGCTCCGGTGGTAACGCTGGTGGCGTTAACATGTGACTGATGGTTTTGAAGAGCCTACCCAAATTGGTCTTACAACTCCATAGAAGGGGGTGGTTTTATTCAACAGTCGACGAGTGAGGCTTTTTGAAGTTGAAGACTTTCTTCACCATCTCACCCACTTTGTTTTGCTATGCTGACACTGAGGGCACGGTACGGTGACTTTCGCTGCATGGACTTGAGAATGTCTCCATTATCCAGCCTTTTTGGGGGATGTGGGGACACTCCGCTCAAGAAGAACCGGTGGAAGAAGGTTCACCCCTATTTTCCAAAAGTCAGATTGGCTCAAAAGTCAGATTGGGAGCTCACAACCACTTCTTCTGATTGATGGATTCTTTTCCATGATGAATCCGAAAGGGCTGAAGGCATGGACCTTCGACCGACCCTTCTGACGACGGACCCTCTCGACCGACCCTTCTGACGACACCTCTCGACCCATTGAACCCGCTCGGTCCGACGGATGCACCGACGGTCAGGGCAGCACGGAGAGTTCGGGCCGCGCGGCGCGGGCTCGGACGAGCTGAAGCTGGAGGCGGAGGGTAGATGGGGTAGACCCGAGGGAGGCGAGGCTAGAAGCTGGGGTATCATGGTCATGTAACTGTAAGAAATGCCATGTAACTATTGCAACAAATGGATGATCCAGCAAATTTATGAGTGGAAAAAGGATACCGTCATGAATTGAAGGGTGATATGATGGATGATAAAGGCTCATATCATTTCATGATAAAGTCATGCACATATATATATATATATTATATACCTAGACCCTGTTTAATATTACCTCTGTTTTGATAGGAAAAGACAATGTTTTGGCTCCAAAACAGGGGTCAATCAGGTTCTAGGTGTATATATATATATATATATTATATTGCACATAGTTTGTGTGCTGGCGAGACGTGGACTCTTTATAGCTGTCATGCATCCGTGTTCATGGCCTGCAACAGTCGTGGTGGGAGTGGTAGTGGCAGCTGGTACTGGTACTGGTGGCAGTTGCAGATTGCTCAAGGCCGAACCCCTAGAATTTCTGTGGGGAGAAGGCCAGTTCCAGACCATACCCAAATCATACCAACTCGATCCAAATCGAATCCCCCAAAGTCAGCGCTTCCAAATCGTTCAGAACGGAGCCGAAGAGCCGAAGTACCGCAGTTGCTCAAGTACCTGAAGATCAAGTTCTCCAACGCCGGGAACCGCATCTCCACCGAACGGGTGGTCTCAGGCCGGTCTCGACCGACTGGTGAACTGGTCGAGTTACCAAAGCTGAACTGGTTGGAGAGGCAGAGAGAGTCTCCCTACTCCATTCTATTCCAACATCCTTTCATTATGCAAAGCATCTTCACTCCCCTCTGATGTCTTACTTTTGATCACGTGTTGACGTCACAAGCTTTTGACGCACTCTTGTGGCCACCAAGAATCTATAAAGTGCTTGAGCATGGCACCCAAAATGAACCGACTCGCTGCCGCGCATTTGTCAGGAACAGGTATTTGCAACATCTACGAGTTTTTAGCCTACAAACATCCGCATGAGGTGGATGAAGAGGCCCCTTCTCCGACGTGAGTATCGCGGGCCGGACCGGTGCCTTTTCGGCTAGAAAGCGTGTGGTGGGCTTTCTTGGTCGATCAAGGAATGCTGATGCAACCATTTTTCCCTACAAAGCGCTTCAAATTCCAGGCCTGTTCACAACTAAGACCCCTTGCTCCGGATCCCAGCACTCGAATGCTGGCATGTGTGACACGAAAAGCCTAACCCAAATAAAAGAAAGATATCATTAATTCATATTTGGGATTCATTCTATTATTGAATATCTTAAGGAATGAATCCCTGGCCAAAAATATATACTGGAAGAGATTTTATAGCACATTTTTGGCCATTATATAATAAGAAATCTATATATTTGTGGGTTGCTATATTCCATGCCTGCGGGTGGGCATGGACAAACTTGGCACCTCCATTATTTACAGTAGAATGAATAGATGAATAGGGAGACCTCCTTTGATCTGTGGATTTGCACAGCAGAGGGGTCACAACATGCACCTGGCACCAGGTGCATCAGCTGCACAATGAGCGGCCCAAGGCCCGATTTCGTGTCACGGCGAATCGGCTCTCGAAGTTACTTGTACCTCCTGCAGGCAGCACAGTCCAACAACCACAGGCACCATTTGACTCCCCCAAACCACAGGCACAGATGGCGAATCGGGAGGGTCTTGGCTACACGAATCACTGCCAGTCTGACCCGCGGTCGTGCGAGGATGCAGGACTCATCGCCATGAATGCGCGCCTTGGTTCGGTTTGAGACAGAGGGCGAGGCAGCATGGCATGGAGAAGAACATGATGAGATAATCTGACATAGTATGACATGACATGGTATACGGTATACTTTGAATATCTTTGATGATCTTTGCATTACTTTGTGAGAATCCTTTTGCCAAATCAAGATGATTTTGGCTGTTACTCTCTCTCCGACAATCATGGACAGTGGACAAACCGTTTGTAGAGGAACATTCAGAGAGGGTAGAACATGTGCACACAAGAATCATTTGTATTTGCGAATGCTGCGGCTCGATGTGTCATGTGTTCGTTCTTTTTGGCCAACACATTGTGCCTGGTGGAACACCGTGTCCACACTGCGGTCTCTCTCGCAGTCCGACCAGACTCTCCCATCTGACCGAGACCGACGCCGGAAGCCCTCGATGGACTGACTCGGGCGATTTTGGACTCCCTGGAGAGCTAGGCGGAAGAAATGGACTGCCTCTGAGAATGGCAATTTCACAATATTTCAGCCATTTCAGGTGGGGGGAAGAGTACTGGAATGGCCAGGCTGTTGGGCTGGTGAGAGTGGCGGTGTTTTTCTCTCAGCTTAAGCATTGCGAATAACTTCTTCGACCGAACCACTCCAAGCCAGGAGTCCTGGTCCATGGGTCCATTGGTCCATGCGTGCCGAGGACACCGGGCTCCTTGTGCGAGAAAACCTTGAAGATCTTCTCCGACGCCCGGAGCCTCAGAGGGTCTCTGACGCCCGGAGCATCCGTGCGAGCCGAAGTTCAGCAGCTGTCAGACGGCCAGGCCTATGGTGCCCAATGCGCCACCTTCGCCCTCTATGTGCAGCCCTTCGGAGGTGGCGGGGAACGAAGAATTCAGGAAGGTCGATCTCCAAATGTGGGGTGTGTATATATTTTGATAGGGACCCGCAACCAATGTGTTTGGGAGCTCTCCCTATTTTAATACCCATGTAGGGGCTCTATTGAGTTAGGACTTAAAGTTCAGGAAGGTTGGATGGAGAAGCTGCTGTGAGAAGCGGCTCATAGGCTCTTGCCGCTCAAGACCGTGGACAGCTGATCCTCTCCCAGTTCTCCTTTGGATGGGACTCAAGACCGTTTGACCGTTCACAGACCGTGTCTTTCTTTTTCGCTGCCGGTTGGGTGTAGTGTTGATGTGATTTTCTCAACCGTTTTCTTGCATAAAGGCATGAGAGAGAGAGAGAGAGTGTGTGTGTACTGTACTGGTTACTTGGTATAAGCAGCCAGTTCGTTTTCATGGGGTGAGCTGCAGGTGGATGCCCCTCCAATCTTCAGCTTGAGATGCCTGAGTAGGATTTTCTCCGAACCCAACCATGGTGCGAAGTTTGGGCGGATTTGACGGAAGACCTGTAAACACGACGACCTGCTTCACGACCTCTCACCGACGACGAACGGAAGCCGCTTGAGTCATTGAGGCATCTACATCACCGGAGGCGTCACCAAGAAGATGCGTGAGTGGCTGCTGTCAGAAGGTTCCTTCATGAAGGCCTACTACGACAAAGGCTTGGAATGGACCGGCCGGAGACAGGGGCGGAGACATCTCTGGGGCCTTGGCGGAGGCCTGGGAACGGGTCTCACCTGAAGTGAAGTTGAGAAACTAGGGGCCCTAGGGGGATTGAATCATAGAGCATTTCCTTTTTTCGGGGGGGTCCAAAACTGAACAGAGATCAACTGGAGGAATAGAGAATGCGTAGATTTAGATGAGAATCGATAGCATGAGTTTTCCAGGATGATGTTCAGAACCCAACAACAATCCTGATTCCGCTTCTTCCAATTGATATACCCAATATACCCTCTAGCTTTAATTACGATACCTGATATCCTCCTGCAGATTAATTAATATGGGCTCTCAAAACTCAAAACCACTCGGTTGTAGAGGACAATTGTCTTTTCAGGGGTCATTTTTAGGGTCCATGTTAGTCTGCAGGTAATGCTCTTCTGCAAGACTTCTAGTCACCTGAAAAAACGGGGAACAGGTCCGGTCCAAGCAGAGCTCTTCGATTTCACATGATTTACAGTATTCTTTTTAGGGACGTGTCTTTTTTCATGTCTTTTAGGATCTTCATCTGGTTTCAGATGATTTCGCTCTTCGATTTCTCCCTCCCTCCTTCAAGCCCGCCTCCCCTGGGTCCTTTTCGTCACCCCCCCAGGCCGCTTGACGCCGGTGCTGCACCGCGTACCCTTGATGATCGTCAACAGCGCCCGGGGCCCCCGGAGCGCCAGCGCAGAGTGCGCTTGCGTCAACATATAGATTATATAAACAGTATACACATTGCTTCATATGCACATTGTAATGTATAGAAGATCTGTTATCTATCATGTGGGTGTTGGTATGTATAACTGAGCCTTCTCTGTGTTGGTCTAAAGTCAGGTCTGGGGCAACGCCGGCAGTCGTGGACCCACTTCGTGCCATGGGGTTCGGTGGACCCACCGAGGACGACATGGGGCAACGCGGCGCTCACCTGCGTGCTGTGATGCTCTTGAAGTCTGAGGCCAACGGTGACCGGTGAGTCCCCCTGGACCGAAAAGCAGCAAGGACCCTGACCGAAAAGCAGTGGTTTGGAACGAGCAGCCTTGGGAGCTGAACTTGTTGAGATGCTTAAAGGGGTGACGTGGGGGACTGCCGGAAGCCGACTCCGTGAACATGAGGGTCCGGCGTTTTCTGTGTGAAGACCAAGCTGTGCTGTGGTTTGGTTTTGAAGGATTGATGGGGCCATGGTTTAAGAACTCAGGATTTGATGCAAACTCTCATACTTGAAGCATCTTGAAACACTCTCGGCAAAAGGCAATCAAAAGCCCTTGCGCAGGTGGAAGTACAAGCTAGGCGCAACTTGGCTGAATGTGCTGCCATGTCCAACGGCGAAAGTCACATACCCAGGGCGAGCCTACTGTGAGAACTGCCCAACCAAAATCAGAGGAGTTCTTGGCCAATCCATCCAATCCAGATGACTTAGGAGGACCTTGCCAAGAAATATCAGATCATTCCCTTTGGGGCATCTCGCTGAAAGACTTCCCCACCACTTGTCCAATCTGTAGGCACGAGCTCAGCTATAACATTTCAACCCTTGGACTTGTTGTTTTGGCTCTTAGGGGTATTTTGAGTGACCGTGCCTTTGAAGACGCTGATAGGACTGATCAGGACAGGACGTCTTTGTTGTGGACCGGCTGTGATGAGTGAGGGCTCCTTCCCCTGAGAGAGAGAGACAGAGAGGGAGAGAGAGAGAGAGAGCGAGCGAGAGCGAGAGCGAGAGCGAGAGCAGAGCGAGAGCGAGGGAGGGAGAGCGAGGGAGCTTGCGAAGAAGAATGGAAAAGATCCTAATCCAAACCAGATGTAACAGATCGCCCGTGCACCTCTGCCACTCGATGATGTGCCAAACGAAGGCACAGCTTTCAACATGTGGCTTTCAATAGAGCCAGTCGGGGTGAAGTTAGAGAGTCGACCTCGGAGAAACAGCCCAAGGCCTCTTCGATGCCTTGGATGTGAACAAGGACGGTGTGCTCCTCCTGCCAGAGCTCGAGGGCCTCTTCGAAATGCCTGGAGACCCATAACCGACATCCGATGGACATCTGATCGACCTCGCTTCACATCGGGTCGCAGAGGTCCCCCCTAGAGGTTTTTCGATGGGAGGTGCCTGAAATCCTGCTTCCATGGCGAGCCACGCTGAAGAGCGCCCAAAAGCCGCTTGCTATTTTGTTTGCTCCGCCCAGGGCCGGGAACAAGGTCGGTCCGCACAGGCGCATGGCGGTGGTGTGTTCCGGGAGGATCTGACCCCATCTGACCCCTCTGAACAAGTGGCAACTGACCTGGAACAAGTGGGCATTTGTCCCAAGGGATCGCCTGACAAGGCCCAACAAAACCCTTTGTGGCCGGTTTGCGAAGGATTTTTAGGCTGCAAAAACCAGGTGAAGTGCTCTTTGTAATTGAAGGCTATAGGCCAATGCTTTCACTCGTGGTCTTGCTTCGCCGCGCAAAAGCGCTGCTGGAGAACTCCGGGTGAAAAAACCATGATGGATTAGGGCAGGCTCAGGGGTTGAATTGCTCTCTTTCGATACGTCACTGTGGCCTGAAGCCGCCCGGGTCCATGGTTGGTGCATACGCATGAGGGTCCACGACTTGGAGGATCGGATTTGGCACCACCTCACGGTGCCCCAATCGCCGGACGCTTGGCACCTCCTGGCGCCCACCTCACGGGAATCGGTACGGGAGGTGTCGACGAAGCCCACCGCCGGGGACGACGTGACCAGGAGCGAGATGGCGCAGCGGCTGATGGAAGACTTGGACTCCGACAAGAATGGCCCGGGGAATCCGAGTGGGAACCGGGTGAGCACCGGGTGAGCACAAAAAGGGTCATTGCTGCAAGGGGGTGACCCTGACATCGTGGGACACATGGGGTCGGGTAGATGCAACTATGATTCAGTTCCACAAGGTAGAATCTTCATGCATCACCCCCCCCAGGCCTGGATGGTAGAACCAAAACCTCTGAACACAATATGCGGTTGATTCATCAAGATACTGCGTTTTGCACAGGTCTATGTCTGTGCCAATGGAAGTTGTTTTTTTTGTTTAAAGAAGAGAACAGGCAACCTGTTTGCGCGGAATTTGTTGGAACATGAGCCCGTGCGTGGGCACGCGGTTGGTTTTGCAATGGTTGCTGTACCTCTACTAGTGGAGGCGGAGGTGAAGAGCCACTGATTTGGTTTGCCCACCGTGCTCAAACTAATGCTTCACCGCTTGAGTCCTTGGTGTTGGTTTTGTGGGACTATATATATATATAACATTATATAACTATAATTGTATAAATCAATACATAGATTATATATTTATATAACTATATATAGTCCTGAGCTTTCTCATTATATAAATAGATGGTTCATGATTCATGATGGTTCCATGTCCAGGTCGGATCGCTTCCACGCCAACCCGATGCAGGCGTCGTCTCCTTTGCGGAGTTCCTGAAAGGCGGAGAACGGACATCGGGACATCGGCGAATTGGGCGAAGGGAGGGCGAGTTGGTCAGTTGGGCGAATTTAATTCAACTGACGCGTTCCTTTTTTTCCTCTTCATTTTCGGATTCAGAGAAGAGAGAAACAACTCGCCAGTTCCTTCAGACCCACTGGTCTTTTCATCTGGGGTGGGCCAATCTCTAGCAGCACGCTCGTGTGTCTGATCAACCATTTACCTGGACCTTCCTACTCCTTTGGTCCTCGTTCCGCTCGGCAGAGCGAGCCAGGCTACAACCACCTGCCCTCTCGGATGATCTCGGTGCCTTGGTAGCGAAGCGCTTGAAGCGAAGGTGGTGAGTGATGCTGAGTGTTTCAGGTTCAGTCAAAGTGCCCTTGGCGTGTGAAAGAACATCGTATAAGAAAAGGCCAATTGTATCCATGATTGTTCCATGCCGCACTGGAAGTTCTCACAAACTTCATGAAACTTCTGTATAGTCTTTGGTTTCTGGTCTTTTCTGGCTTTGTGCTGGCTGACGCACGGACAGACTGAGGAGTCTGCCTTCCTGCACGATCCCAACGATCCTCACAAGCAGGCGGTCGACGGCTCCAAGATTCAAAAAGCCAAGTTGTGAACTCAACTGTGGCTTTCGCCAGCACTTGCATCTATCATCATCACAAAAAGGAGGTCAAAGAGATTACTTTTCGGTTCTTTCCTAGATTTTTGATTATATATATATATATTATATATAAACATTCTATATTCTACTACCATGCTTTTAAACTCTTCCTCCACTCATCTCACCCCAGCCATCCATTCTGCCCATGTGCGGAAAACCCGCGACCGGGTCGCCGGTCGTTTCTGCAGAGGAGCCGCCCATGGAGTCCTCCGAACTGGTCTCTCCGCCCGACCGGGGCAATGACCCCGACAGCCAGCTGGCCTTGGCCGAGGAGTCGGAGAGTGGTTGTGACTGTACTCACACGACAGGAGACATTAGTCCAGAAAAGGGATGGATCATGAGACGTATCTTAGATAGTATCTTAGATAGGACATTTCACGGTCTTCCACGATGTTTCACGTGATGATGATGGTTGATTCCCAGGGTTGATCCGTGTGGTTGGTTGATTTTTCCATTGTTCCATGATGTTCCATTGGGAATTGCTTCAAAGAGTCTATGGGATCGTTTCGCCAGTTCTTTGGGGGTGTAGACCTGAGGCCTGATCCGTTCGCATGTCTCGAGGATGCTCTAGCCTCACACATGAGCACAGTAGCCCAGTTCTACCCAGCTATGAATGGACAGGAACTTTCTCTTGTGGCATGCTATTGGTGCGCTCAGGCATCATGAACATGAACCAACCACGAAAAGGAAGACTGAAAGCTAGGTCCGTTCGGTTTGAGCTTTGGTCCTTTGATGGCTGCACTCCAGGTCACTCGCCTTAAGATTCAGCTAGATTACGGCCATGTCCAGCTACATCGCCTTTTCTTCGCGTGTGCAGGAGCTGCGGAAGTTTCAGAGTAAGGAGAGGCGCCAGGCCATCGATCCCTTCAAGGACCGACGTGCTGGGTGCCGTGCTCGGTGGGCAGACATCGGACCATTTGGAACACCATAGGACCATTCGGATTCAAGAACACCCCAAGCTCCTATTTTTCAAAAGCACTGTGTACGATGGTCAACATTTCTGGATGCATAACTACGTTTGAAGGCGGGAAGGATGGGCGGGCAGCGTCTTGTAGAGGTAATTGCAAGGAATTCGCACTTGTGGTTCAATACCTCACCACTGTGACCATTTGCAAGAACCACAGGGTTCCTACTAGCGTCGTAGCTTACTTAGTTGTATAAGATGACCAACCTGGATGTACCCGCTCCCACAGAGGAGATGAGAGCACCGAATCGTTCGCTTTCTCTCGAGCGCGTCGCTGTCTTCAGCATCTTCCACCTTCCTTTGAAATGTTCGACATTGTTCCAGAAAAAGAATCTGAACTGACCCAGACCATCATAAGTATGGTATAGTCACCGCTCGTGACCGACCACCATCTTGGGGTGCTTTTCATGGGAAGTGCCGCGACGCTCAGCGCTCGCGCTCGGCGGCCAGGACTCGCATGCGCCACTCTTCCAGACCAGGCGGAGACCGGGGATGGCATGGGTCCGTTGGGACGGCCTTGGAGAGGAAGAAGACATATTGTTTTGGATTGGATAGGGACTGCCTTCAAAAGAAGTGGATGTCTGGACCCACAGCATCTCCCTTCTGTCTCCAATCTCCTTCGCCAGAGCCCCTCTCTGGGGCTCTCAATGTTTGGTGAAAGCGCACCGGGCGGTACGTGGCAACGGAACTGATCGGAGTGGAGGAACAGCCTAGCAGGCTCAGAAAGCAAAAGCGGGCGTCTACTTTCAAGGGGGGACTGCCTAGCTGGGTAGACTGGGGACTGGGGAGGAGCCTAGCTGGGTGGACTGGGGGGCAGGAGGCTAGCTGAGACTGGGGGGGAGGAGCCTAGCTGGGTAGACTGGGGAGGAGCCTAGCTGGGTAGACTGGGCAAGAGTTCATGAAACCATATGACAATCGTCCCAGCGGCCGCTTCTGGCTTCCGGGTCCCGACCGAAAGGTAGTGAGACACGGTTCCCCCGCACTTGAAGGATTTCGTGATGTTGGGTGGTGTTGAGCGTGTATCCTTGATTGTGGATGAGGCTCTACAAGCGGCTCTATGACAGCGACCCCGCACGTGAGGCAGACGGTCGCAGTATCAGCAGATCCGGGAATGTTTCCCACAAAAGAGGGTGATTGGATGGACAAGTACTTGTGCAGTACGTAGTCGATGGTAGATGCTTTTCAGAGATCCTTTCAGGAGTTGCGAACGGGGCTTGACGTCCCCCACGTCCGTCCCCAGTTCGTCCGAGGACTCCTGGCTTCATCGTGTCTACTGGGTGAGCAACTCAGGCACGGCTGCAGCGCGGAACGGATGTGGCAGTGAACGGCTGTCGCACCGAAGCCGGTGGGTTTGGGGGGCAACTGGCCGTGAACTGGACGGACTGAACGAACTGAGCGAACTGAGCGATCTGAACGGACTGAACGGACTGACTGGCACACGAAGTATGATGAAATATGACGTATCCGCTCACCACATTGGCACCCCAGTCGGCGACCTGCCTGCACGTGGTAGTCTCGGGCATCACCATCTCGTCGCTCACGATCCGGACGTGGTAGTCTCGGGCCAATCCGATAGGAGGTAGATCTTTGATCGGGGCGGGACAAGCGACTCCAGTGGAGAATGACAGGGATACTGGAGACTTTTATTCCAGAGGGAAATCCCGGTGCAAAGCCAAGGAGAAACTGGTCTTGTTTTGGGACAGGTTCATAATGGTTCATATATGTTCATATACGTTTATCCCAAATCTATCTAATTTGGTTTGTATGATAGATTCAATAGATTCATAGTATGAGATAGGTTCATACATGCTATCATTCTATCTAACAGGATGACGCTTCCCATCCAGGTGGCATCAACTACCACAGTGTCACTGAGTGCCGAACTCGGCGGTTTCGCAGCCTGGTTCCGCATGCCAGAACCGGCAAATGCTACGGCTGAAGGTTCAGAGTGGCACAAATGCCGAGGGACTTCTAAGCGGCCTTGTAGGGATCTTGATCCAAAGTGGCTTGTAGGGATCGGTGCTTGTCTTTGTTGAGATAGATTTCTGTGTTTTCTCCGCCTTCGGGCAGATGCCTTCCTTTCGTACCTATGGACCATAGGAGAATGAACTGAAGAATGAACTGTACTCAGGAGTTCTTTTTCCTTCAGTTCATGTGGCCCCAACGGGTTCGAGTGTCCATCGATGTCCATCCGCGCGATCTGCCGCTGAGGGGAAAGGCCTTGCAATACATTGCTCCTGAGCAAGTGGCCGACATCTCTTTCCGCGCGGTGCCGGATGAGAAGCGCTCCTGTCCGGGAGCCCAGGACCAGCACTGAACGGCGGTCAAGAGCTCAAAGGAATGGTGAGTTAAGATGCTTTACTACCTCTCGCACATCGGTCCAAGTCGATGTCATGCCGGACACTCTGGTCCGAACATGGGGTGAGTTAAGATGCTTTACAATACATGAGTGCATGCACCCACACCTCAAGGTCATAGCATGTCATAACTACAGAAGCAAACACATCCATTTGAAGTAATTGGTCTACGGCAGGCTCTATTTGTTTGTCCAACTTCAGTATTTGCTGGTGAATGAGATTGGGCCCCCACATACGTGAGTTTGATGACCGCAATTTCATGCCAATGTGATCTGCTACTGGAGTAGTCTGAACGAGATACTGTGACATGACCTCCTACTAAAGCAGTCTAAAAGCAGTAACTACGGGCCCCCACACAATTGATAGTGTAACTGAGTCCAGTCATGAATCGGTGTCGCCGCGATGTATTGTCCGCAAATGCATCTTTGTGAGGCAGGTTCAGCTTGCGCCAGGCCGGTTCGTCCTTCCAAGCGGTCATGCACGAACACAGCCTGCAAGGGCTTTTCCGGCGCAGACCGTTAAAACTGGTTGGACTTTGTTGAGCACAGGGAGCGTCGTAGTGCTGGTTCTGCAAGCTCTCATTCAAAGGTGCCTTCCTGGCTTCTTCATGAACAGGGCAGTGAGGAAGGCCGGGCAAAGGCTGAAAAGGAAAGAGCCCGCCCCTGCACGGCCTCTCGAGGAAGAATAAGGACTTCATCAATTTACCTCAACGTGAAGCTTTGAGCACCCCTTCCTTCTTGGTGGTCAGTGGTTCCCAAGGCATTGGGAAATCAACCATGCTGAGCAATCTCATGTGTGAGCATGTGAAGAATGGCAATAGGGTGCTGCTGCTCAAGATGTCAAGCCGTCCAGGTGAGGACTTGAAACTCAATGAAGCGCTGCCCAAAGCATTGCAAGTAGAACAAGTGGCGTATATGCTGGAAAAGGTGAGTGAGACGTCCAAGCGCCGAACAGGCAGTGCTGTCGTGGTGTACCTGCAATTCACAACCAAGAGCCGCGGAGACAAATTTAGTAGGGATGCCTGTGCCACCCTCGGTGCCTTCGCCCGCAACATCACCTACGACAATGCCGCGTGCAAGTTCATGTTGGAGGTCAGCGTGTCTGCCGTGGCCGACATCATCACAGAAAGGCTTGACATGTCAGATTTGGTGGTGGTGCGACCGCTGCCTTTCGAAGACTTCGTGCCTTTGGTCGACTAGGTGGCAAAGCACGGAAACGACTTCCGGACGCTGAACAAGGTTCTTGCCGACGATGAGATAGAGGAGGTGTTGAAGCACTGCTACATCCGCACAGGGGGCAACTTCCGCGCCTTGAGCGAGATACTACGAAACGTCTCCAGAGCAGGTCAGAAAGGTGCGGATGCGGTCATCAAGCGGGTTGAGCAGTGGTACAAGGAGAGAGTGCAACCAAATCAAAAGAAATTGGACGACCAGGGAGCGAAGGACTATCTCCGAAGGACTGTCTCCTCAAGGTGGCAGAGGCAGGACCCATGGGGTATCTCCCGCAGAGCGACGAGACCGAAATGAAGTTGAAGCTTCTTCGTGAGGAGCCAGCAGACTGCGTCCTGAGGAGAGCCACCAGTGATAGTGTGGCTTTGAAGCATTGGCATTTCGTCGCCAAACTCTTTCAAGAGGATGAGCAGAAGTTGAGGGTTGCAGGATACATGTGAGCTTCGCCAGTGAAAAGAACTGTGGCGCTTGAGATGTTGTGTGGGTGAGTCATCCAAGAGTAGTTTTCACACATTGCGTGCATACCCACAGATACCCAACCCTAATATCAATGATACCCAGATACCAGTATCTAACTATCAACGATACCCACAACCTAGTATCAATGATACCCAGATACCAATGTCCAAGTACCAACGATACCCAAAGCTTAGTATCAACTATACCCAGATACCAGTATCCAAGTATCAACGATACCAAGAGCCTAGTATCAATTATACCCAGATACCAGTATCCAAGTATCAAAGATACCCACAACCTAGTATCAATGAAACAAACATCCAAGTATCAACGATACCCAGAACCAAGTATCAATGATAACCCGCTACCAGTATCCGAGTATCAATGATACCCAGAACCAAGTAAGTATCAGTGATACCCTGATACCAGTATCCAAGTATCAATGATACCCAGAACCAAGTATCAATGATACCCCGATACCAGGATCCAAGTATCAATGATACCCAGAACCAAGTATCGAGACACGGGAAACTTCAGAGTATGGAGAATTAAACGCGATGAATATAGATTTAACTTTACTGTCATTTGCGATGGTTGAACTAGACACTGCAGATGTTGAACTAGACAATGCAGATCCACTTATCACAACACAAATGCGTGCCATAGAACATTGGTGGGATGGAATAGGTCAATGGTGTGCCTAAAACTACAACATAACTATAACCCATTAAAAATGTAACCTATAACTACACTATAATTACAACCCATAAACCCCAACCCTCGAAACAAAGCAGAACAGCAACAACAATCAGCCACCGCGTTGAATTATAGCAAAGATAGTTATTTTTAGCACCAAATTTTTTCCAGAAATCCCATAGATAATAACGACAAGGCTCAACAAAAAAACCTTAAGAACCAAACACGTTAAACGAGGTGGTTGATGAACAAAAATTCCCCAGAACCATCCTTTTACAATTTTTTCCCCGCACGTGTTGGTTTCTATCACTCCTACAGGGTGCGCAAGGGAAATCACTGCGCATATTTTCGAAGGTGGTTCCCAGCCCACCCCATCCATGTACGATGGACTACGCTGGTCTACGTTTACATTCACCCACTACTCCATACATGTGACCCAGCCCTAGGGTCACTAACTACTCCATAATACATGGATTTTGGAGCAGGGAGACTTCTCTGAACTCCTGGTGGCCGAAAATCGCCCGAGGCAAGAAGCATCGCTTCATCATCGAGCCCCCGCCCGACGTGGACCGACCGCAGCCGGCCACGGAATTTGCCGCTCGGAGCGGGGAAGAGGGTGGGCACTTGGCACAAGGAGGTCGAGTTTTGAGACAAATACCATGACCGGCCAGTAAATGTTCTTCATTTGATGGCTTGTGGCACCAGAATATCACCTCGACTCGCGCCGGGACTCCATTGAGACCCCTTGAAGAAGGCGGTGATTCGTCTTTCGGCCTTCGTTCAGCTGCGTACCGTCCCATCAGATACGTCCAAGGCAGCTCCATCTGCAGATATTCTGGAGTGCCCTGGTTTTAATACCCCCTGGCGTGGGAGGGCGGGCCGGTGGGGGACGGTGCTTTTTCCAAACGGATCCCGACAGCCACAAGTCACTGAGTGTGCGTGGAGTGCTCATTGGAGCAACAGAACGAGGGATGGATTTGTTCATGAACGAAGCAGATTCATCAGTCTTGGGGCCTCGGAATCCATGGATTCCACGAGGGGGGGCTTTTCTGATTACTTTGTGACCTCCACCAAGTCAGGGCGGGACATTGGGATGAGAAAAACGGCCGGAACTTGGGAATTGAGATTGGTGGATGACGGAGCACTCCCACCCCAGACCGCCCTTTGCCGATCTGGGCACCAGCCCACCGACATCACATCCTTTCACTCCGCCATCGAGGCTTTGGATGATCGAGTTGGAGGCGTTGAAGCAAAAGGCCCAAGCCGCCAAGGCGGGCTCCGCGGGCCAGGCTGGTGGCCAAGTTGCACGTCGTCTGGATGGCGTGATGGCACGTCTGGGACCATGGAGTAAAGCTTGAGTTCGTGTGTGTGAAGGATGTGTGCTTGCTGAATTGCGGAGTTGGGTTCTTTGGATCTAATATGGTTAACATATTGGAAGAACATGGAAGAACCAACAGCAAGAAAACATGCCCATCTTGACGGACAAAATAAGTTGACTCTTATGTTGTCTCACATTACACAAGTTCGCAATCGGAACCGCATCAAACGCTTTGAAGCCCCCCAAAGCGGCTGCATTGACCTTCTCCTTGGCCGCCAGGAGCGGAAGCGCCGACGCTGAAGTCCCAACTTCGATGATATGCCAACGCACAAAAGCAAAAGCCTGGATGCCTCCAATGGATGGTGACTTTTTGCTTGGGTTTGCCGTCTTCAAATGTCAAAGCTTGATTTTTGGCTGGCATCCAGGTATGGATTTTCGAGCGGCGCAGCTGCTGGGGTACTTCTAGAGGTTCAAGAAGATTTGGTCATACCAGAGTCACCACTACGTAGCTGGTGCTTACTTGCTGGAAATGCAGGATGAAACAATGACACCCTACAAATCAAGCTATCAAGTTAATCTACTTTATGCCACTTCCCAGACACTCACACGCATACATTGTTGAGCATGCAAAACTGTCTGGCTTCCCATGCTTTCTTCCCGCACTGTTCCCAGCAGTTTGCGCCCAGCCTTTTGCGCCGCCCTCTTTATGCGCCACCGGTCGCCCCGCAGTTTTCGAAAGCGAGTTGCCCCTCTTGGCCGTGTGCATCGTGCATCGTGCCGTGCCCGGCATCGATTTACGGAAAAAGATTTGAGCAGGCTGGGCAATGCTGGGCATGGTGAGGGGAATCTGGTGATCTGAGGTCCGAAAAAATGGATCACGGTGCAAGGAGTGTTGCAATGTATGCCAATATGATATGCCTGACTTACTCATATACTTACCTATAAGTTATACGAGGTATAAGTCAATAAGCTTTGCCGATCTACACATGCGCTTGTGTCTATAGCAACTCTCCACAGGTCGTCCGAAACGAAACCACGGTACCTCCCATGTGCCATCGGGCCATTCTGGCCATCGACCTACAAAAGTGTTTCCTGAAAAGCATCAAAACCGAGGCAACAGCTATCAACTCATTGTCTTAGCCTGGTGGCTCAGAGGGGGGGTAATGGGATGGCGGGATGGCGGATCGAACGCGGACAGACTTTAGATCGACTTGGTGCGATCCGAAAGCATGGGAGGTCCTGGAAGTCAGCCTGCGGAATGAATGCGTCTCGACCTTTGGGCATCCACATCCCCACCTGTTCGGACCCTGAAGCCTCCGCTCTTCTCGACTGAAGCGAAGTCTGAGGGGATCTCCCTGTGCATCCTCTTCGTGCTCTCAAAGATGGGTGTCGTCGACGCCATCAGCCAGAGTCAGGACGCCTCCATCATACGCGTCGCGCGCGTGACCCAGGACCCCATGCCTCGCGCGTCGCGCGTTTTGCGTGGTCAGGGCCACTGGAAGGGCCCCAGAGATCAGGGGCTTCATGAACTGAAAACACGTCCGGAAACAGTGGTCGAAGGTTGGCCGAAAACAATCCGATGATCATGCAGTTACTACGAGGAAGATGGGAAGCTCTTCAGAACAAATAGCTTCCCAGTCGAAGGCCTGCGTATGTAAATTAGACATTCATCATTGCTAACACTCCAGAAAGCCGGGTGGAGGTGGAAGAAGAATATACATTTTACAAATGAAACATGTATATATATATATACACATATATACACATATTCTTGCGTTCTTGATTACGAGATGTTCATTTCACTCTTTTGTTCTTTTCTTTTCTGCACTTTGGGACGTGCTGGAACTTCATTGTTTGTTGGACACCGGCGGCTTGGCCCATCCTTTTTGGATCGGTGAGAACCGCCAGACCGGGTCAGACCGGGCCACGCCCGCCACGATGAAACGGGTCGGGTTTCGCGAAAAAGCTCCGTTCGTAGCGTCCTTGTTCCGTAGTAAGGCCAGGAGCCCCGAACGTAGCGTCCGATCGTTCCGTTCGTAGCGATACCCTGTGCTCCGTTCGTAGCGTCCTCTACCCCCGGACAAGGCAAGAGTTCAGAGAACTCTTCATTTTCGACCTGCCGGTCACGAGGAGAAGCTACTTTTGAGCTTCGCCACCGAGAAGGAGAAGCAGGGATGGCCCAGACGAGAGGGCCGAATTGGACTGGAAGAGAGGGTGCATCTGACAAAGAGATACAAAAACAACGAGGTTGGAGGCTGGAGGCCATCCCAATGAAAGGTTCCTTTTGCTAGCCGCAGCGATCGTCGATCGAACTCATTTCCCAAGGACGCTGGGGGTCTCACTTTGTTCGGTCCGTTCGGAGGTTGGGGATCTCGGGCGACTGTGCGACTGTACCCCCGGTCCTTCGTCTCCTCCGGTCCTTGTGTTTACATTCGTGAGTTCAGCAGTCAGCATTCAGAAGACGATGAAGAAAAGCCATGAGGTTTTGGAAGGGCTCCTTTCCCAGGCGGAACTTCCCACCTAGTGGGAGCACCAATGCTTAGTGGATCCCTGGATGATCCGACAGAGCACACATAAATTTCTTAAGAATCTTTCAGACAAACTTTGACTTCTCACTTGTTTGGTGCACCCCTGGCTGCCATGATTTGCCTTTCCAACGCACCCCTTGCTGCCATGTCATGAAGGCCCATACGGGAGACACGGCGCCCGCCCGAGGCTTATGCTGGAAAAGGCTGAGAGTTGCGGACGGCGCCGGCGACCTTCCACGGAGGAAACATGCGGCGGTTCCATCGTCGGGTCTTCCGCCGGCTGCGTTTGCGTGCTGTGGTGTCAAGTGATTGTTGGAAGCAGGTGTGGAGGATGTCTCAAGTCGCTTTTGCTTCGAGTCTTCAACTGTTTTCATTTGCGCCGGTTTGTTGGGATGGCCACGTGATTTTCTTTCGCCAGCCGTGCAG